GAGTTCGTTTTTCTTCACATCCTCACAAGCACTTGTTATTATTATTATTTTTTTTTGGCTTTTGACAATAGCCAAGGGATGAGATGATACCTCATTGTGATTTTGATTTGCATATACCTGATGATTAGTGATGTTGAACATTACAAAATATATTTTTGACCATTTGTATGCCTTCTTTTGAGAAATGTCTGTTCAGATCATTTGCCCATTTTAAAATTAGATTGTTTTTCTTTAGTTGAGATGATTCAGTTTTTTATATATTCTGGACAGTAATCCCCTGTTGGATGGATAGTTTGTAAATATTTTTTCCCATTCTGTAGGTTATCTTTTCACTCTGTTGATTATTTCTTTCTTTTATTTTTTTGAGACAGAGTCTCACTCTCTTTTTCAGGCTGGAGTGCAGTGGCATGATCACAGATCACTGCAGCCTCTACTTCCCCAGACTCAGGTGATCCCCCCACCTCAGCCTCCTGAGTAGCTGGGACTGCAGTCATACACCACCATGCCTGGCTAATTTTTGTATTTTATGTAGAGATGGGGTTTCACCATGTTTCCCAAACTGGTCTCAAACTCCTGGGCTCAAGTGATGCTCCTCACTTAGTCTCGCAAAGTTCTGGGATTACAGGTGTGAAGCATTGGGCCTGGCCTTGTTGATTATTTCCTTTGCTATGCAGAAGATTTTTAATTTGATAAAATCTTACTTGTTTAGTTTTGCTATTATTGTCTGTGATTTAAAAATCTTATTCATGAAATATTTTCCCAGACTCATGTCCTCAGTTTTCTTCTTGTGGTTTTTACCATTTTTGGTCTTATCTTTAGCTAAGTCTTTGATCCATTTAGAGCTGATTTTTATATGAGGTGAGAGGCAGTGGTCGAGTTTCGTCCTTTTCCCTAAGGATATCCAGTTTTCCCAGCACCATTTATTGAAGAGACCTTCTTTTCCCCAGTTGTTGTTCTTGGGACCTTTGTCAAAAATCAGTTGGCAGTATACATGTATATTAATTTCTGTATTCTCAATACTATTTCATTGGTCTGTGTATCTAATTTTATGCCAGTACCATGTTGTTTTGGTTACTACAACTTTGTAGTATATTTTGAGGTCTGATAGTGATACCTCCACTATTGCTCTTTTTGCTCATGATTGCTTTGGTTATTTGGGGTTTTCTGTGGTTCCATATAAATTTTGGGATTTTTTTTCTATTTCTGTGAGAAATGTCATTGGTATTTTGATAGAGATTGCAGTCTTATTTTAACAATATTAATTCTTACAATCCATCAGCATGGCTGTCTTTCCAATTGTTTGCATCCTCTTCAATTTCTTTCATCAGTGTTTTGTAGTTTTCCTTGTAGAGATCTATCACCTCTTTGTTTAAATTTATTCCTAGGTATTTGAATATTTTTGTAGTTATTGTGAGATTTCCTTCTTAATTTCTTTTTCAGCTAGTTTATTGTTCATGTATAGAAATGCCACTGGTTTTTGTATATTAACTTTGTATCCTTCAACTTCACTGAATTCATTTATTAGTTCTATGAGTTGTTTTGCTAGAGTCTTTAGATTTTTCTAGATAAAAGAGCATGTCATCTGCAAATGGGGACAGTTTGACTTCCCCCATTCCAATTCGAATGTCTTTTATTTCTCTCTCTTGTCTAATTGCCCTGAATAGAATTTCCAGGGATATGTTCAATAAGAGTGGAGACAGTTGGGCATCCTTGTGCTGGTCCATTTCTTAGAGGAAAAGCTTTCAGCATTTCCTCATTTGTAAGATCTTCACTGTGTGTTTGTCATACATGCCCTTTATTATGTTGAGGTTTCCTTCTATATGTGTTATGTGCTTTCCTTCTATACCTAATTTGTTGAGAATTTTTTTTTATTATGAAGGGATGTTGAATTTTATCAAAAGCTTTTTCTGCATCTATTGAGATGATCATGTAATTTTTGCCCTACATTCTACTGATAAGATGTATGATGTTTATTGATTTGCGGTGTCTATCTCTTTGTTGAATTTCTCATTCTAGATCATGAATGCTTTCTTGACTTTATTGAATTATCTATTTAAATTATCTTGTATTTCACTGAGTTTTTTTTTTTTAAGATTTCTATTTTGGATTCTTTTTATACCATTTCACTTACTTCCTTATGATTGGGAAATATTACTGGAGAGTCATTGTTTTCCTCTGGAGGTGACATGTTTCCTTGCCTTTTTTTAATGGCTGATGTATCCCTATGTTGATATCTATGCATCTAGTGGAAAAGGGACCGCTTCCAATTTTATGAAGTAGGTTTTGTAGGGAAAGACTTATTCATATGGAGTGTGTATTAATCTGTTTTTGCATTACTATAAATAAATACCTGAGACTGGGTAATTTATAAAGAAAAGAGTTTTAGTTGGATCATGTTTCTGTAGGCTGTGCAGGAAGCATAGTGGCTTTTGTTTCTGGGGAGGCCTCTGGCACTTGCTACCATGGTGGAAGGGAAAGTGGGAGCAGGAGTGAGAGAGAAAGAGAGAGTGGGGCAAGGGGCCACACAGTTTTAGACAACCAGATCTCATAAGAACTCACTATGCAGTACCAAGGGGGAATGGTGTAAAACAATTCATGAAAACTACATCCCCACAATCCAGTCACTTCTGTATTAGTCCAATTTCATGCTACTGATAAAGATATGAACACTGGGCAAGGTATAAAAAAAGAGGTTTAATGACTTACAGTTTCACATTGCTGAGGAGGCCTCACAATCATGGCAGAAGGCAAAGAGGAGCAAGTCACATCCCACCTGGATGGCGGCAGGCAAAGAGAAAAATTGGGCAGGGAAACTTTTTCTTGTAATACCATTAGATCTCTTGAGACTTATTCGATATCATGAGAACAGCATGGGAAAGACCTGCCTCCATGATTCAGTTACCTCCCACTGAGTCCCTCCCACAACACATAGGAATTCAAAAAGCTCAGGGCTCTCCCCACACTGGACTCGTGGCTTGCAAGAACTGTGAGATTCTTCTTTCATAAGGACTGGAATTTGGGTGGGGATACAGCCAAACCATATCAACCTTCCACTAGGACTCATCTCCAACACTGGGGATTACAGTTTGACATGAGATTTGGGTGAGGACACAGATTCAAATCATATCAAGGTGTGAGTTTGGTGAGGTACACTGGCCTTGGTATGCAGTACATGGCTGCTTGGCCAACTTGAAGGGCTGTTTCTGAAGTCCTTATTGGGGGTGCAGGGCCAGTGAGCAAGCCAAGGGTGTGTCTTCAGGGAATAAGGTGCTGTGGGCTTGTTTCTCAGGTCCTGAGTGTGGGCGCATAGCCACTTTGCTAGCCTGGGGGCATATCAAATACTGAAAGACTCAGGGCCCTCTCCTGCTTGTGGGAGGGTACACAGTGAATTGGCTGACTCAAGGATGGGTTCATCCTAGGCAGCAGTGGCAGACTGTTCCTCCAGCTAGAAGCAGTAGTGAGGGTGGTTTTTCATGCTGTGCAGGACCAGTGTCACGGCTTACCTTCAGACCAGGCTCCATGCAGCTGGGATTGTGGCATTCAGCCACCTGGGTGGGCTTGGTTGAATGAAGAAGGAGCTCCAGTGCTGAAGAGATGTGTTGATTCCTGGCTCCAGAGGAGGGTGCACTCCAGAGGTGGCTCTGGTCTCAAGATGATGCTCTGCAACAGCTTGGCTCAGAGGGGCTGGGTGGGGGTGGGGAGTGCATACCTTATGGTTCTAATCTGGAGCAATGCTGCTGTGCAGATTCCTGGCAGCCCTCCAGACTGGACGCAGGGTTTGCAAGAACTGTGAGATTCTCCTTTTGTAAGGACTGTAGGTGTTTGCTTTGTCAGTAGGGGTGTATGAGGTCCTTCTGTTTATCTTTTCCATGCAATGAGATGTCCCTCCTGACTCCAGGCAGATTCAATCTGAGCAGGGGATATAGAGCTGCAGAGGCCGAGTGCCTGCGTGCTGCCCTTCTGGACTGCCAATCCCCACGGATGCATCTTCACTCCCCCACTGTGCTTCAGCACCCTCCTTCAACACTCCAGTTAGCTCTTGGCTGTTGATTCATTGCCTTGGTCCTTTTGGTGGGTGGGGGGCAGGCAGAATGCCAGTCCTCTCTAATCAACCATTTTGCTGGCATCACTCTTCCAAATGATCTGGAGTTTATTTTCATCCAAAAATGTATTATAAGGATTCTATATTTATACTGTGCTAGGAGACTAAAGGTCATTAAAATATAATAGGACCCCTACTTTACAACAGAAGTGGATATATGGTCCTCTATAGCATGGTAGAATTTGAACGTCACTTCTGTGGCTTTAGTAACTGTGACTGGGTCTATCTGGATGTGCAATTTCTGAGGAAATGTTGAAATCAAAACTTGGACACTGAGTTTTTAAAAAGTTTATTACATAGAACTCACCAAAATTATAGTTTTTTCCCCAAAATTCTCAGTGTGCTTTAAAAATAATTAACTATCCCTCTGTATGAGGATCATAATTGTGACTATCATATCATTATGTCAACAATGACCTTTGAGAGTTAGAAGAGTAAAAGATAGGAGAGCCATCTTGTTCATACAGAGGAGATTCTTTCTTTCTTTTTTTTTTTTTTGAGACAGAGTTTTGCTCTTGTTACCCAGGCTGGAGTGCAATGGCACGATCTTGGCTCACCGCAACCTCCGCCTCCTGGGCTCAGGCAATTCTCCTGCCTCAGCCTCCTGAGTAGCTGGGATTACAGGCACGTGCCACCACGCCCAGCTAGTTTTTTGTATTTTTAGTAGAGACGGGGTTTCACCATGTTGACCAGGATGGTCTCGATCTCTCGACCTCGTGATCCACCCGCCTCGGCCTCCCAAAGTGCTGGGATTACAGGCTTGAGCCACCGCGCCCGGCCCAGAGGAGATTCTTAGAAGTACCAACTAAGAGATGAAATTGCTGGCCTAGAAACTAATAGCCTTCTCACTGGGTTTCATGGTTCTTTTTTCCTCTCTCTCATCATTTTGGGTTTCCAGCTGAGATGTTAAAACAAAGATTAGAAGACCTGGAACAAGAGAAAATCAGCCTGCACTTTCAACTTCCTTCAAGGCAGCCAGCTCTTAGCAGCTTCCTGGGTCACCTGGCAGCACAAGTCCAGGCTGCCTTGCACCGTGGGGCCACTGAGCAGTGAGTACTTGTCATTGTCACCATTTCCTCCTCATGTTTCTTCCTACCTGTCAGCTCCCACATAGTAAAGAGCTGGGAGGAGCTTAGCTGTAGGGACCCTCGGCTGCTTTCCTGGGAAGGGCCCTTTATTGGTTGGGAAGGTGAGGGTCCTTCCAGAGTGAGGGAATGACTCATGTGGGTCATGCTTCTCCAGAAACAAGACTTTTCTTCTACTTGGCAGAGAGAGATCCTCCACAAGTGCAGTGAATCCCAGGTCTGAATCATTCCTTGGGAAGCTACCTTTCTAAGAAGGTGGGGTCATTTCCTTTTGTTGAGGCAGCTTGGTGTCCTGTGATCCTATTAAGCCTGTAAGATCCATATGTGGTCCCCTCTGACCGAGCAATGAAAACCCATCCTCCTCCTAACTCTACTTCCACCTCCTGAGCAACATTCACCCAAGGCTCTTCTGGGATCAGTAATATATAGAAAGCAATTGCTGCTTCTAATCTAGTGGCTTGTGGTCCCGGCTGCATGTTTGAATAACTTAGAGAGATTTAAAACCTACCAATATCCACCCCCACCTCACCCAAGCTGAGTCGGAATGTCTCGAGGCGGTAGGCAAGGGTGGCTCCCAGATGTTGGCATGATTGAAAAGGCTGAGAACCATTGCTCATTACCTGCCTGTTCCCTCGCTCTCCAGGTAAAGGTCTGAGAGGGAACAAGTATTTTATGAATGCTATGAGCCTCATCACAATTCAGGTCTGTTTCTAGGTGTCAACATGACCACAACAATTCCACTTTATTTCCCACTTCCAATCGCAAGACCGTCTGGCCTCTTCCTATTAAGTGCACCTGGCATTTTACATTTAGTTTATCTTGGTGCCTCCCTAAAGCCTTTCTGGACTGTGAGGCCAGTTATTTTCTCAGTTTCGCCAGTAGCACGTAGTAGAGTGAATGGCACCTGGTAGGTGCTTTTTTATAACTGTTTGCTCAGTGAACTTTTTCATGGTTCTCTTAAATAGGGAGTAAATTTTGCCTTGCCGTTTCCATTCCTTTGTAATCTGACATTGAGACTTCACTGCAACATTGCCTGTTCCTCTTTCCTTCAAGCACGAGGCCCCTCCCAAATTGACTTTCTATGTAAGTCTCTCATTCTTTTATCTTTGGGATTATTTCTTGTCTTCTATTTCGGTCTTGGGAGATCTTTAGCATATAGAAATGGGGCAAAAAAATTGAGGCACAATAAATTTAGCTAATTTTTTATGTTTCTATTTATTTAACAAACACTTGCATAACAGTTACTAAGTGCTTTAGAAATTTTATCTCCATTTTTAAAAAATTGTGGTAAAATACACATAACATGAAATTCACCATCTTAGCCATTGTTAAGTATACAGTTCAGTGGTACTAAATACATTATAATGCTGTACAACGTTCACCACCATTCATCTCCAGAACTTTTTCCTCTTCCCTCCAGAACTTTTTCCTCTTCCCTCCAGAACTTTTTCCTCTTCCCCAACTATCACTCTCTACCCATTAAGCAATAAATCCCCATCCCTTCTTTTCTTCCAGCCCCTGACAAACACATTCTAATTTCCATTTCTCTGAATTTGACTACTCTGCGTACCTCACATAAGTGGAACCATACAATATTTGTTCTTTTGTGACTGACCTTTCTCATAGCTTAGTGTCTTCCATGTTCATTCATCTGATAGCATGTGTCAGAATTTCCTTCATTTCAAGACTGTATAATACTCCATTGTCTGGATAGACTACAGTTTGCTTATTCATTTATTTAAATAACTCATTTAATCTTCATGACTATTCTAGGGGGTAGTATTATTTTATGTATTGACATCTATGTGTATAGAGATCTGTATCTACATTGATAACCTGAATTTTAAGATGAGGAAACCAGGCCCAGTAGAAGCTAAGGAACTCAGGCAGACCAACTAGCAGGTTGAGTACTGAGGGAGACACAAACCCAGCTGTCTGGCTTGCATCCTGTCTGTGAACCACTGCACTGTGCTGCCTCTCTAAGTATGGTCTGGCAAAGGCTCATATATTATTGTCTCTTTAGCCCTACATGTAAGTTGGATGGAGAGTGTATTAGTCCATTTTCACATTGTTATAAACAAATACCTGAGACTGAGTGATTTATAAATGAAAAAGGATTAATTAGCTCATGATTCTTCAGGCTATACAGGGAGCATGATGCTAGCATCTGCTTAGCTTCTGGGGAGGCCTCAGGAAACTCATAATCATGGTGTGAGGTGAAAGGAGAGTACACATATTGAATTGCCAGAGTAGGAGTAAGAGAGAAAAGAGGGAGGTGCCACAGACTTTTAAACAACCAGATCTCATGAGAACTCTATCATAAGATCGGCAGCAAGAGGATGGTGCTAAACCATTCATGAAGTATCCACCCTCGTGGTACAATTATTTCCCACCAGACTCTGCCTCCAACACTAGGGATTACAATTTGACATGAGATTTGGGTGGGGACACAGATCCAAACCATGTCATTCCACCCATGGTCTCCGCACATCTCCTGTCTTTCTCACAGTGCAAAATATAAGCATCCCTTCCCAATAGTCCCCCAAAGTCTTAACTCATTTCCAGCATTAATTCAGAAGTTCAAAGTCCAAAGTCTCATCTGAGACAAGGCTAGTCCCTTCTGCCTGTGAGCCTGTAAAATAAAAAACCATTTAGTTACTTCCCAGGTATAGGCATTGGGTTAATAGAGAGAGAAAGAGAGAAATTGTCTGAAAGAAAGGGCTACAGGCCCCATGCAATTTGAAACCCAGTAGGGCAGTCATTAAATCTTAAAGCTCCAAAATAATCTCCTTTTCACTCCATGTCTCACATCCAGAGCACACTGGTGCAAGGAGTGGGCTCCCATGAACTTGGGCAGCCCTGCCTCTGTGGCTTTGCAGGGTTCAACCCCTGCAGCTGCTCTCATAGGCTGGTGTTGAGTGCCTGCAGCTTTTCCATGCTGAGGGTGCAAGCTGCCAGTGGATCTGTCATTCCAGGGTCTGCAAGATGGTGGATCCCTTCTCACAGCTCCACTAGGCAGTGCCCCCATGGGGACTTGGTGTTAGGGCTCCAACCCCATATTTCCCCTCCACACTACCCTAGTAGTGGTTCTCCATGAGGGCTCCTCCCCTGTAGCAGACTTCTGCCTAGGCAACCAAGCTCATGCATCCTCTGAAATCTAGGCAGATGCTCCCAAGTCTCAACTCTTGTACTCTGTGGACCCTCAGTCTTATCACCATGTCGAAATTGCCAGGGCTTATGGCTTGCACCCTCAGAAGCAGTGGTCCAAGCTATATCTGGACCCCTTTGAGCCAAGGCTGGAGCTGGAAAAACACAGCAGTGTGGAGAGCAGTGTTCTGAGACTGTGCAAAGCAGTGGGGCCCTAGGCCTGGCCCATGAAACCATTCTGTCCTCATAGGCCTCCAAGCCTGTGATGGGAGGGGCTGCCATGAAGGACTCTAAAATGCCTCTGAGGCCTTTTCCCCATTGTCTTAGCTTTTAGCACACAGCTTCTTTTTACTTATGCAAATTTTTACAGCCTGCTTGAATTCCTCCCCTGAAAATTGGCCTTTTTTTTTTTTTTCTACCACATGGCCAAACTGCAAATTTTCCAAACTTTTATGACTTGCTTCCCCTTTATATATAAGTTCCAACTTTAGCTCATGCATATAAACACAGGTTGTTAGAAGCAGCCAGGCCACATCTTGAATGCTTTGCTGCTTAGAAATTTCTACCACCAGCTACCCTAAATCGTTACTCTCAAGTTCAGAGTTCCACAAACAACCTAGGGCAGGGGGACAATGCAGCTAAGTTCTTTGCTAAGGCATAACAAAAGTGACCTTTACTTCAGTTCCCAATAAGTTCCTCATTTCAATCTGAGACTTCATCAGCCTGGCTTTCACTGTTCATATAACTTCCAGCATTTTGGTCATAACCATTTAATCAGTTTCAAGGAATTTCCAAACTTTTCCTCATCTTCTTGTCTTCTTCTGAGCCATCCACACTCTTTCAACCTCTACCCATTACCCAATTTCAAAGCCAATTCCACATTTTCAGGTATCTTTATAGCAATGCCCTGCTTCTTTGTACCAATTTTCTATATTAGTCTGTCTTTATATTGTTATAAAAAAATACCCAAGACTGGGTAATTTATAAAGAAAAGAGGCTTAATAGGCTTACAGTTCTGCAGGATGTACAGGAAGCATGATCTGGCATCTGCTTGGCTTCTGGGGAGTCCTTAGGTAACTTACAATCATGACAGTGAAAGGGGAGCAGACATATCACGTGGCTGGAGCAGCAAGAGAGGGAAAAATGGGAGGCGTTATTCACTTTTAAACAACCAGATGTGTTGGGAACTCTATCACAAGAATACCAGGGGATGGTGCTAAACATTCATGTAATATCCATTCTTATGATTCAATCACCTCCCCCCACCAGGCCCCAACTTCCACATCAGGGATTACAGTTCAACAAGAGATTTGGGTGGGGACACAAATCCAAATCATAGCAGCGAGTGATGATTTTATCATGGCCTTGCCAGTTTATAATAGAATATGATTAACTAAAAGCCAGTATCATGCATTCTTAATTATATTAGGTTACACCGTAAGGGCATCTCTTAGATTTGACTGTTTCAAACCTGTCAAACTTTTTATGGGGTTCAGCCTAATAAGACCCCCAGAAAAGTGTGGGTCTTTCTTAAACATTTATCTAGATAATATTAGCTGTTGGCTTACTTTATGAGCTACCATCCTCTTTTCTTTTCCTCACAGGAGTTGTCTGTATACTGTGCTTTTATGTTCCATTCACTTTTTGAGCCCACTGTGACCTGGTTTCTGTCTCTATCACTTTTCAGATCTCTATCAAAGTCAGCAATGACTTTCTATTAGCTAAATTTAAAAGGCATTTTTCAATTATTTTTCTGCTATTTATCACGGCAGTGTCTAGAATATTTAAATTCATTCTTAAAACTCCCGCTCCCCTTG